GCGAGGGTGCTATGGTGAGAAGAAAAGAAGGAGGCGGGGGGGCTGATAGGGCACAATAGAAAGTATATCGTCCCAAGTAGATCTACGGTCCATGCCCCCACCCCCCACCCCAGCTCAACACACTCATGTGTTTTCCACTCTGCCTTATCAGGACCAGATGGATCCGACTGTCTTCTCTTGCATCCCCGCTTCTCAAACGCCCCCACCCCTGCAACCACCTTTCTCCTCCCTTTCTCCCCCTGGCTTTGCTCGTTTATGACACCCCACGGATTTTGTCACTCTGTGGTTTCTGGCGAGGAGAGAGAAATACCAAGCCGAGTCTCCATTTCACCGAGCAAAGAATGACGGTTTGACGGAGGGAAAGCACGAGGAGGAGGCTCCGGGAACACAAACAGGCCTTTCTCTCTCCCCTCTGGAGCTGCTCTCCCTTTATTTTCCATATCTTGTTTGTTTGCTTGGCTCATATTTTCACTTTTGCTGCTTTGCGGCTTTATTGTTGGATTCATGGTGTTCGACTCAACAACCAAGTACTCTATTCTATTCTATTCTATTCTATTCTATTCTATGCTATTCTATTCTATTATATTTGTTTCTATTCATTTCTGATACAGATACTCAAATTACACTTGATTACACTAAACCTTTCCAAAATGACAGTCTAAAGTTAGCAAAGTTTCCTGATTTAGATCATAAGCAGAAGAAATTCAATGCTGACACTTAACACATTTTGGTTTTTACTTAAAAAATATTTAGATTTGATACCCAGACTTAGGATGACACCTAAATACTAACAACAACAACACAATGATTAACACATACTTGTAACTCTGACTGCCTGAGAGAAATTGTGTGCTTGTGGTGCAGCATGTTAATGCATTTAATATTCAAACAATTAAGTTTGTGTGTCCCCATTTCCTTCACTACATGTGTCAATTTATGCATAAAGCAGCTTCAATGAATACATTCAAAGTTGTACAAAATAATCCAGTTCACTGCAAAATTCATCTTTGCAAGTAGAAGCTTCATCTATGTGCCACAAATCAAATCCAGTCCCACAGTCTAAACTCATCTGCTCAGTGAGCACTTAGAGGATTTCTCTGCTAAGCTTGCTTGCTAACACAATGCTGCTCCATCCTCCAGTGTAATTTCACATGCGTTCCAACCAGATAAATCCTCTGAATAATGCTGTTGTATTGTTCTCTCTTTCAAACTCTCTTTACCCTCCCGACCCCTCACAACACCCCCCACCACCACCACTCTCATCCCTGGCTGCTCTGCTTCTCTTGCTCAACCTTTCTGAAAGTGCCAAAGGCCTATGGAGCGACACGAAACAGAGAGATATTAATAAAAATATGACTGACTCCAATGGGATATGACAGTAGCGGCGGGGGTTGTTAAAGGGAGGCATGTGGTTTCAGGGGTTCACCAGAGGTTTTAAGTCAAACGGGCCCTTTAATGTGGCCTGCCTTTGCCCACTTGAGAGGCTGGTGTGAAGTTACAAGATTGGACCCAACTGGGACGGGGCGATGATGGGTTCAACTGCTGGGACGGCCGTGATGAGGGGAGGCACGCTCAACTGGTACCAGAATCCACAGCACCAGCAGCCCCTTTCCTGAAGTACAAACCAACCCGCACACTGATGGATCACACACTTCCTTCACTATATTACAGATCAATGGCAACTGAAGTGGGGTCATAAAACTGCCTCGGGTCCTTAAGGGGGCTGTAAAAGGTTTGCCAGTACAATGGGAGTACACTGAGATACTGTTTAATTTCAGATACAGTTCGCCATTATGAGTAAGAGAACAATAACATTGCATTTGTGCATTACATTTCATGGCATAAACCAGAACAAAATAATAAAATGTCACAAAAAAGATCTGTTATAACTGAAACAAATAAATAGAAGAGGGGAATCAATTACAAAAACTATGTGACTGTTTAAATGTAAAACTGGATCAATACAACAGGTTTGATATTCCCACTGCTAAATACCATTTAAAGAACACTTTATATTCTGTGCCATACACAATAATCTAGTCATATCATTCTGCATTTAGAGTCCTGTGAATGGTTCTGATAGACAATTCTAAAAAAAGAGGTAAAAAGAGCAGAAAGGCAACAGCAAAACAGGAGATGGGAAAATGAAAGCATAACCATGAGATTTCAGTGCCATCTGTTTATTCCACATGGGAACAAGATTTGTCAAATGTTGTCTCCTGAACTATTGCATTAGAATGCAATATTACAACACCACTGCATACTGCCAAAAATATTTAGGCAAGATCACGAGATTGCTTTTGCCCAAAATGTCACTGAAACTCCTCCCAAAACCAAACCAACGCCAGCTTTGAAATGATTTATTTTCCACGACTCCAGCACGTCAAGAACATAAACCCTAACAATGGTTCTGCAAAGTAAAAAACAGCTAATTGTTCTTTTAGGAATCATTGTATATCCAATGAAAATCAACAAGATCTTTATAACAGTGGATAATCTGCATTTTTCTATTTCATATAACTTTAAATTCTGAGGAAAAAGGACAGGAATTTTTGCATTGCTAAGCCCGTTTACCAAACTGCATACAGCCAGACAAGAAATATAGAAGCTTGACCTCACCAAAACCTCATCTGTAACATGAAGCCTTCTATAAGCCATAGCCTTATACGATAAAGCCCCCGCTGAACCAGACCTCAACCACAAACCCCAACCCTCCAATACTGGCCCAGCACTGTCATTCTTTTGTATCTGTACTCTCTCCCAAACACACACGCCACAGTCTTTACACATGTGTGCAATGCACACACACACACACAAACACATGCATACACACATACAGTAGTCAGCCATCTACCTATCCATCCACCAGATGAAAGCTGCTTCAGCCGGCAAGTCTGGAAAAACAAAAAATGTCTGAGAGGCTACAAAACCATCTACTGGGGCCAGCCAACCCAACCCATACATACGTGTGTATGCACGCACCGCGTAAATAGGTGGCTGAGCATGGGAGATGGAAGGTGAAAAGCAAAATATGAGAAAGTAGAGGAAGAGAGGGGAAGAGGCACACAGCCCTGTGGTTTTGGGGGGTTAAACGGCAGAGCATGCTTGCACATTAAAAGCCATCTGATCCACGGCTAACTACAGAGTCGCAATTGTGTTTGCAAAAGGCCCCGCAGACAGAAAGAGAGTAATAAAGTAATGCAATCTACATATTCTTCTCCTCCTTAGGTCCAAATCCAATCCAACCTCCTTTTTCTTTCTCTTTTCACATTTAATTAATTTATCTTCGTTCTATCCTCCACTGTTTATCCCTGCTCATTTGCTGCCCACTCTGCCTTTCTTTTGTTTTATGTTTCTGTTTTCTTGTCATTGACTTTCTCCCCTCATGAAAAGACCATGGCAGAGCCCCAGGCCACATTAACTCGCTGACTAACATTGGGGGGGGGCTTGGGAAAGGGAGGCACTGGAGACTTTGTGTTTTCCTTCAGTCTTTCTTCTTTCTTTTCTCCATCTGATATCACTTCATCTAATGCACATCCTTCCAGTAAACACTGAAAACAAATCGACTGTGTTTGTAGAAGTGGTTTGTATGTGTCAGAAAATCAAAACAAACTACAGTGACGATGCTTCATTCTGTTATAAATTGAAATTTCCCAACATTTCAGGGCAAACATGTGCCATTATGTTCTTGTCATTGTATTTCCACTTAAACTTGAATACACTTCACCTCTGTCATACGCATTCGCAGCTGATTGCCCCCTTTTGATACACTAAGCATTTTATCAGCTGCTTACACAAATATTCTTGTTCCCCAAACGTCTTGTGTTTAACACTGACAATTCACAGATCAGCGTGCTCAGAAACCGCACTGTTAATAAAGTCAGATGTACTGTACATATTCCGTCAAAGACCCACATGGAAAAACTACTGAATCCTACAGCTACAAGATGCATAGCTGTAATCCATACCTAAGACCACATGGATTTCAGCAGCAGCATAAATTATGGTGCAGTGAAAGAATGAAGCGCTTTAAAAATCCATTATGGAGCTAGACGTATATGGTAAGCTTCACATCGAAATATTTGCAAGCAGCATGCGGTCTGCAGGAATATGTGGTTCTGTGTCTGTTTGAGAAAGAGAGAGAAAATCTATTTCCTCTGACTGGATAAAGCTTGAGTGTGAGAGTATATTGGTGCATTTCTAACATCATTTCTAAGACAGTGAGCTGATTGTTTGTGACATTAATACTATTACAGGTGTATTTCCATGTTTACAGTGATTTGTACGACGTAGACCTGTCAATTATTGGGAAACAGCACTGCTGACATTAGATGCAGCGGCAATGTGGGTGGGCTAACACACACATGTGGCAGCCTCGGATTAGGAAGTGGTAGGCCACATCATTTTACTACCAAGACGTCTCTATATGGCCTCGCCTGTCTCCTGGGAACCGTGAAGCCCTCACACCCAATCCTTCTATCCCTCCTCTCCTCCCTTCCTCCCTCCCTCCTCCTGCCATTTTCCCAGTGTCATTTACCATTAACATCACACTCGTCAGTGAGTTTCTTTCCCACCAAGGCCTGAGTTTCTTCCATTGAAACTGGCCTCCAGTGGCAGTGTTCAGGGATAATCTAATCTACAAGGTCAAATGAGTGCATGTCGAGCCACCTTTCATTTCCCTTTGCTTCACGCATAATTTTTCACTCACAAAGGTGCTGCCATTACAGCACAGGGGGAAAAGCTGTAGATTACTGGATGCATTGAATGTTGGGTTGCCAGATATGGTATAAGTTTGAAATCCTGAGGAGAGAGGAAGATGTTTTGCTTTTTTTTTTTTTTTTTTTTACCATTTAGCTCTGTGGCCGTTAGATAGATGCAATCCACCACATCTACAGGGAAAAAAAGAAATGGCAAACCTAACTTATTCCCTACTGTAACCTGCCATCATAACTCCTATGGTATACATGGATATATATGTGAAATTTGAAACGTTTAAGTACCTGACAGTGAAAGATGTATTCAGGTGTGGCCTTCTTAAACTTAATGTTCCACACCAGGGCAACACCATCCGGTTCATGAGGAGCATCTTCATTATTGTTATAGGAGGCGACCAGCAACTCAGGGTACTGAGAGAGAAAGAAAAGAGAGAGGGATGTTAATAAAAAACAGAGACACCTTAAATCAACCATGTGGAACTTGATGATCTACTCCCATTCTCTTCAAACACTAAGAAACAGTAAGTACGTTCAGAGGTTTAAAACCTGCTTAACTGCTGCTGGTATTTCTTGAGAAATAACTTTACAATGTGGGGATGAGTTACAGCTTTGAAATCAAAGTAACACACAAAACGTGGCCTCACCTGAGGAGACCAGTCAAGACAGGTGATAACACGATGTTTCGACCAGTGTTCATCATAGAAGAGTCTACTGAAAGAGAGACTGGAGCCGCTACCCAAGTCTCTGCAGACAGACAGTAGAGATAAGGGTCAAAGATTACTTCTTCATCAGACCTGAAGACATCAGTTTTGTTCCAGTCAGTAAAAGTAAAAAGGTACCTGCTGAGAAAAAAATGGCTTCATTCTGTAAGGGTGAATGAATGATACAAGAAATTCAGTTTAAAGTTGCACTCCTTCACTTCAAAACAGTTGTATATTGTTGCCTTTGGTTCTGAAGTAGGTTTCTTAAGTTTGATAAAAAAATAAAAAAAATAATTAATTAATAAAAAATAACCCTGGTCATCAGGTCATCGGGTTTAATGAAAGACTGAGATTAAAACTCAGGATATCTTGAACTCTGCTGCTCCGACTTTGACCGTTCTTTATCTGTCTCTTGCGATTCTCCCAATTTTATAAACGTGGATTATTAAATCGCTGAACTACCCCTTTAAAAATGTCTTTCTTTTAACAAACATGAGAAATAGCATGTTCGGGCATGCTGAGTCAGTAAGTAACTTCAGACACCGGAAAACATGGATTTGGATCAGTAAAGGGGACTCACACATACGTTAACTTAAATAGTGAAAAACAAGCATGTCAGTGGCCACAGTAGTAGTAAGACCATCATAGTTTTTGTTTATGTCTGAGCCCTACTTGTCAACAGTTTTAGTGTTAAACACAACAAATTCTCTACACAGTGTCAATGACACCTACTTTGTGTGCCGTACTATGTAGAATTAGTAATGGTAATGAAATGAGGGTTACGTTGCTACATTCTCAGAAAAAGCAAGCCAATGGAAAAAGAATGGGACTGAAGTTAAGCAGTTGGCCATGGCCTGTTTTAGACATAATCTCTATTTGACCACAGGCTTGATGCTCCTCTGTGGCTACAGCGGTCAAAGTTGAAGTGAGTCAGTAAAAACAGCATTCATCTGTCACAGCAGAACTGTATCCCAAAACAGCTTTGCACTTATGACTCTTACAACTTCAATCACCACTTGGATAACCTCTGTTCAGAGCCAACCCATCAGATGGCAAGACAATGTTCTTAAGGTTGTGATGGTTTTCAGTTCACAGGAGTATTTAACCCACTGAGAGTATGACATCAGCGGGAAGACATATATTCTGAAGAACAAAGGAGCCTCCCAGGCCCCTGGAGTGAAACAGTGGGCATGAGTCAATCTTCGCACATTTCCTAGTTCGAGGCATGCAAGTAAACACTCACATGTGCATCCAAACACATCCTCCCTCCTCCCTGCTCACCCCTCTTTGTCTTCCAGGTCCCGGCCGCTGTAGTCGAAGAAGATGTCGCTGTCTTCAGCCAGAGCTCTCTCCATCACTCGGATGCTGCAGTCAAAGAAACTCTGAAACTCAGAGGAGTGAAGGATCTGCTGCCTCTCCTCTTCTGTCAGCTCCCTAAGCACCGGAAACGTGCCTGTTGGAGGGAACATAAATAAAAACACAGGAGCATGTGAGGGAGACTCGTGCTCATATTGTTCCCAGTGCACTAACTTGAATTTAGGGCTGCAGTTAATTGATTAATTTGCCAATAATTATCTCAACTAAACGACTAAATGTTAGATCATAGGGTCTCTTTCTAAAAGCCCAAGGTGATGTTTTACAAGAACCCAAAGACATTAAATTTATTACCAAAGTAAGACAAAGAAAGAAAATAAAAATCCCTGCAATTTGTTGCTAGTTTGGCTTCTGGCAACTTAAAGGATTAATTAATCACCAAAATAGCAATCGATAAATTTTATGCTGATCAGCTAATTTATCAATTTATCAGTTTCAGCTCAACTTGGGTTATTTCAGTATATCATCACGTGTCAGTACCACAGTACCTTTTAAATATTCAAAATAGGTACCATATTTACCATTTCGCTGTTTTTGCCAAGCACATGTATCCTGGAAGAACCTGTAGGCCTGTCTGTCACGTATATAAAAAATCTCATTTGGTAAAATATGAAAGTTTGAGATTTTTAAAAATTAGTAATCTTCCCGGCTTCTTAAATTTCCCAATTTGTGACATTACAGGACATCCATCGTTTTTAGGCATTTGCTAAAATTTACCAATGCATTTAAAGTCTAATAAATGTGCCTGTGACTCTGGACTCTGTTACATTCAACTCCTGACTATAATAGGACGGATATCCTACTGAAAACTCCCACACACACACACACACACACACACACACACACACGTAGTACTGTCATGTCTACTACTACTACAAAAAGCAATAAGAGTACTGTACATGATGTGCTTCCGATGTCAGATTAACATTCACTTCATCTCTATCAAAACCAGAATCACATCCAGGACATAATAAACTACAAACAGTTCCTAATGCATCTTTTCTAATAAAACCCTACAGTAAGAACTTCATAAACAAGAGAAAAACAAAGCCCTCTGAGCGACCCGCCTCCCTTTGAACGTAATGGCTGCACAGCACGGCGTCCGGTTTTTGAAGTCACTGTCCCCAAGCACACATGCGATTTTACACACACAAACATGCACAGACACACATATATCGACCTTTACCCTGCCTCTTGACTTTGATCCCCCCCCATCCCTTTGTATTTCTTACGAGTTGTCAGAAAAGACCCAGTGAATCGAGTGGCAGAGATCAAAGGCCAGACCTTCTAATAGGCCAGGATGGAGCGGAGACGGATGACTGTGTGTTTATGAGTGCGTGTGTGTATACATCTCTCTGTGTGTGTTTGGCTCAGACTAAAGTACAGTCACGGATTTGTTTGTGTGGTTGAATATGAATATGTCTGTCCATCTGTGAGTCCATCACATGCTGTGTTTTAATTCACCCGAGAGCTGTTTGTCTTTTCCCTATTATTTACTATGTGAACCCTCCTCATACACACACAAACACGTACGCACACACACGCATGCACGCACACACATACGCACACACATACGCACACACACATACACACACATACTTACTTCTCTATTCCTCTCCACTTTGAAGTGTGGTCGAGGGGTCAAGTGACAGGTTTTTAATCAGTACTGACCCTCACATGCCATGGAGCTGATATGCTAGACCCGCCTTAACCCCCAGTGTAACCTACCCCCACCCTCCCATCTGATACACCCACTGACCGGCAGAGGATGTCACACACGAGTCGCCGTGTTTCGTGACAGCCAAGTGTGAGAAGTCGAGGGAATGAGAGGACTGAAGGATGAAGAGGAGGATGCCTGTAGTGACCGGGGCATGAACTGCCTCGTATATCAGGATAATTTATATGGAGGAAATATTACTGAATTTGAGAAAACTTGGACATTATCAATGAGGTGGTTGACAGAAGTTGACCATTACAGTTTTTACATTTCCATCAGCCATTCATTTACCATCTTTGTTTTCCCTGTTGTCGTCTTCATCCTGCTGCTCTGACTCGGGGCCTGGCTTCGCCTCCATCATCTCCTCATCTTCCTCTTCCTCCTCTACTGAAAGAGAGTAAAAAAAAAAACGAAAAGAGAGAAAGCACTCATGTTAATCAACAGCTGTTCCAATTTTCCTCGACCTCCTGCTGTGTGCCGCCTCCCCCCCTGCTTACCAAAGTAATCATTCCCAGACATGGACTGGTACACCTGACTAACAAACATTTGGTCCAAATGGGTTTCATTTACAAACACACACACACACACAAACACACACGTTAAAAATGTGAAGCAAAACTGCTGCAGAATTTCCATTACTGTTGCTTATGTGTATTAGTATACATCGTCTTGGGGAAAGAAATATCACAGGAAACAAGCCCGTGCCCATTTCCGTGTTGTAGCTGAAGCATGAGTTCACGTGGTCCCCATGTGTGGAGATACTGCACTCATCATGCACGCAAATAAGCCGCACACACACACACACACACACACACACACACACACACACACACAGACACACACAGTCAAGCAGGAAAAGTCAGAGTTCTGTGTGCTCTCCTCTTTCTCTCACCTTTGACCCCAAGCAAACAGAGCCAGTGGTGTGTGTGTGTGTGTGTGTGTGTAAAAGGGGATTCCCTCTGCATTCCCTCCAATCAGGCTCTGCAATTACACTCGACTCTCCAGGATTTATTGTAAGTGTGTGCGGTGTGTGTGTGTTTGGGGTTCAAGTATGAAGGGTTACTGTCAACATAGGCACCTGCTTGTCAGCGACTGCTCCCCTACGACCCCCCACACCCCTCAGGGTTTGTGTTGGTAACCCTCGCCCAACCTCTCCTCCTCTTTTCTGCTGCTCCCCTCCCTCCGAAACAGATGCTCAGAGTCGGGGGGCCTCTCTGAAGACCTCTTAACACCCTGACACCGCGACCAGACACCTGCAGTCTGCCAACACACGCTATACACACAAATACAATCTGTCTTTCTCTCCCTCTCAAGCACACACACCCGGGGCCCTCACCCGCAGTGCCAGGGGTGGCGAGGGGTTAACTGGCGCAGGGTCAAGCAGACAACAGTCGCTCAGTCCAGTGGGAGGAAGTGACTACATCACACCCTTAGACGTGTCATGCCTCTCTCTCACACACACAGAGTCACACAAGCACACACGTCGGGGTGTGTTTAACTCAGCTGGAGTATGGCCTGGGGCACTGTCAAAACCACTTGCTCAAGGGCCTCTCCTGCACTGGATGAACTGTCCATTTATCTCTTCCCTAAGCTTTTGATGAACTCACTGGTGCGCTTTAAAAGCAACAAATATGATTCTAATTGGTGAAACACTTCAGTGATTTTATTATTTTTATCATTATTATTACAATAACTTCTGCCCTTATTTTACTATATTATTTCAGCCTCCCCAGTACCTCACTCTCTCACCCTGTCTTTGTATTCTCTTTTCTTTTTCACTTCCAAGTAAACTTTTTTTGATATATGACTTTAATTTTCATAGTGTGTACATAATAAATGACTAAGCCGAATCAAACACATGGCGGTGAGGCTCAGTCCAAGTTGGTGGTTAACAGCCAACTGTAGTGATCCAAACACCAGTGACCCACCAGTTTGGAGGAGAGACCCGAGAGGACCAGACAGGCAGACTGCCAGACTAGCTGCATGTCTGAGCTGCCAAAACAGACAAGCTGCAAACAGAAACGCACAGGGATACCCTTCTTTCCAGTGCCTTTGTCTCTGCCTCCATGCTTGTTTGTAAAGCTATGTTTCTCTCAGATGTTGTGTTTTTTTTTTTTGGTCATCTATCAGTCATTCTTCCCTTCTACAAACTCTGGTCATTAATCTGCAAATGCAGAACAAGTGGGGTCCCGCTAACCAACACTGGGTACATACAGTACACACAACTTCTAATCTATTCGGCTCCATTCTATTTTCTTGACCTTATGTGACCAGTCCGGTGGTTGGAATGTGTGGTGACGGGGATGGGAGGAGCGTGAGTAGAGGAGAGAGACCACATTGAGGAGCGGTCAAACTGTCAACCCCCGGGACCACAGGACTATGGAGCAAGGCAGCATGATTCATGGCCTATGGGTTACCTCACTAAGGGGAGACGGTCCAATTCCCGTATGAAGATACTGCTGATGTCGTTGCCAGTGGCCATGCATCAAGTTGTTCTGTCACAGTCACGCACCAAAAATATCCCGGCAATTTCCTTTGAATGGAAATTTTCAGATACATTTCTGCGTGGGCTCAAAGCAAAGCAAAAGCTACATTGTGGTAAATGATACTGGAAAATAGGACTCATGGGTTAGAAAAGATAATATAAAACTTTATGTAAAATGTACAGGCAAACACACACAGAGTGACTACAGGGTTCCCTGTTGAGTTGCAAAAGAAGCAGGGAATTCAAAAGAGACAATCTTCCACAGTTTGAGTGTGTCTGACTGCTACCCTGCAAGTATCTGCACACTTTCTTGTTTCCACCTCATTCCAGTCACGGGATGCTTTCTCTTTCCACCTGCTGCTTAATACCGCTCCTCACTGCAGGACAACAGGTTAACTGGTATCCTCCCCCTCACCACAGACAGGGGTCCACCTTGATGAAACTCCGCTTGGGGGCTCCTGTTTTGGCCGGCTACACACCCAGGGTAATGATATCCTCGGTAGCCGAGGGCCACCGCATCTGGCTGCCTCAATCTTCCCCTGGCTGCTTCCTCATGCTGACCAGGCCCAGTCAATTCAGCACAGCCTGGCAGGTATGTAGACACACGGATTCATAGTGTGAAGATACAAACACAAGTGCACACACGCACACACATCAAATGTGTAAAAGTGTTTGTAAATGTATATGGACACAGACACACACGACAGACAAATGTGGAAAGGTGTTTGTAAATACACATGCATGTACATACACAAAAACAGAGGCATATATATACTGTATATACACTCAAACACACACAAGCAGAAGCATATACACACATCTAAATGTGGCTTTTTATAGTTATTATGTAAGTGACTGGCTAATACTGTAATATCAGTAATAATTATTCAAAATTTTATTTTGTTTTTGGCCAAAGCCCAAGAAGAATGAAGACAATACAAAACATAAATGTTTCGTAATGAAAGGTCCATAATAAAGAACCAATTGCAATAAAAGTCAGTACACACACACACACACACACACACACACACACACACATATATATATATATATATATGCTTGCCAGGTCCACACCAAACATGCTGGACCCCTTCTAATCCAGACAACTTTATTTTATTTTCATCTGCCCAAACAATGTGCTGCCAATATTCACCAGGCCTCTTCTCGTGCTCTTTGGCAAAATTTAATCTTTCAGTTTTGTAAGTAATGATTCTCTTCTTTGGACGTTGTCCACAGAACTTGACTTCACAGTCTGATCATTCACTGAAACACCAATTCCCACAGATAGTCCTTGTGCCAAGTCGGAAGCACTTATACACCTGTTTTATATGCAGTGCTTCTGTTATTGGTAGGATGACTCTTCCTCTACCTCCAAACTACTGCTGGAACTGTGTTACAGCATATTTTCATGCATATATCCACTTGTACCTTCTCCTATCTTTATACAATCTGGTGTCTTACTATGTGGAGTTATGTTGCATTAGAAACAACCCATGGCCCACACTGAGAAAGCTGGGGTGCTCAAAGGAGCGCTGTTATCAGATCGGTAATTGGTATGCGAAGATACCCTGAGAAACAAGCTGGATTGGTGCATCCCTAGTATATATGACTTTTGTTGGAATTGTATTGTGAAGATATGTTGTCCAAATTATAAAGACTCCAAGCACATCATAATTGGAACTTAACAAAAGGGTCAATTAAGGTTTTTTGTGATAGATATGACAACAGTTTTGTAGGGCTTTTTATTATCAATTACTTTTTTTCTAATCGACTTGATTAATTGAGAACAGTGAAAAATGCCCCACCATGATTTCCAAGAGCCAAAGGCATCTTCAAATTGCTTGTTTTGTCTCTTGAACTGCCCAAGAATAAAATGTTCAATTTATTATCAGAGAGGACTAAGAAAACCAGCAAATATTCACATTTTTGAGGCTGGAAGCAGTGACTGTAAAACATTAGTGGAAGGATTAAGCAACTTAAAAATAGTTGATGAGTTCCCCCTTCAACTAATTAATTAACTGCTCTAAAATTTTAAGCAGTATAATCCATAACAGTATATCACAGTCCATTACATTAAACATAAAATTGATTCCTTTAATTTTAATTTCCTTTAATTCTGCCCTGTCATGAAAAGTATACGTTGAAATATCAACTGTAAAACTACAGTAAAAACTAGTGGTTGTACTGTGGTTCGACTTGTCTGTTCTTGTATATCTTTTTTTGCATTAGTAGCTCCAAAGGAAAATAATAATAATAATATAAAGCAAAATAAGTAATCTTATATGTGCCTATTTCCTACATATCAACAGGATATTCTGAAACTGTATTTGTTCCTACTTTTAATCTGCACCTACACAGAGCTCCTCCAAAGACAGATCACTCTTAACCCTCTCAGACAGACAACAAGGAATAAGCCAGTAATAACAATGCAACCGTCTACTGTATTGAGGCTAAGTAATACTTTTATTATCATGTTTTCTGTGCATGAGGCAACTGTTAGCCAATATAAACATCATTACTGTTTTTATGGACTAACAGGAGAGTGAAATAGTTCAGGTGAGGGTAATGGGCTGATCTGTTTGTGGAATAAAAAAAACATAGTCTTAATGAAGGCTGATACACCGCTGAGAGATTCATTAGCTTAAACATCTTGTATTATCTCACAGTAGGCAACAAGTATCGAACATGTGGAGAGAAGAGTTTTAAAGATACTGACAACATATAAGAGATGTACAGTCTTCCGCCTTCCCTTCGGCTGGCACATAAAGCACAATGGCGTGGTGTGTCACGGCAAATGAGCGTGTGTTCTGTTTGGTAAGGATCAAAGCGTTAGCTAACCTTTTATTCTGAACCCAATTCACAATGAGTGCTAGTGTGCTGAAATGTGTTAGCGCAAGCTTGG